CATGAAAGCCATATTGACAGTGTCGCTACAGCTTATAACGACACAAAACAGCTTCACTAAACTCGCTATAGCCTATAGCGCCACATATTTAATATAAAAAAATCTAAGTAAATAATTAAAAAATGAATCTGTCAAAGTGGCGTTATGGTCTATAGCGACACAGTGTCGCTATAGGCCATAGCGCCACCCTTTTAAAATTAAAAAAAATAAATAAATAGAAAGAATAAATATATATAAAATAAAGAAAAATCAGAAAAGATGAATGATATTTATGATATTCATAAAATAAATTAAAATGTGGGTAAAATTAATTTAGTTAATAATTTAAAAAAAATAAAACGTGAAAAATAGTGGCGCTATGGCCTATAGCTATAAGCCATAGCGCCCCATTTAAAAATTAAAAAACATAAATAGAAAAATAAAAATATATAAAATAAAGAAAAACAGAAAAGATAATTATATAAATATATATTTTTATGATATTCATAAATAAATTAAAATGTGAAAAAAAAATTATTTAATAATTTAAAAAATAATAAATAAAAAAAACTACAAACATAGTGGCGCTATGGCTTATAACGGCACTCTGTCGCTATAAGCCATAGTGACACGGGTGGTGGTTGAGAAATTAATGACTGTAGCCGCGTGTCAAATTACCGCGGATTCAACGAATAGTAATTTGACACGTGCCTTCGAACAGTAAAAAAAAATTCTCCTATATATGGGTTTTTACCTTCAGATGGTCCCCCCCACTCACCCTTGCCTCCGAGAATCCTCCTATAGAATGTAAGTTTTTTTTTTTTTTCTGTGTTGAATTTAGTTATAAATTATTTAGTTATTTTTAAATTTTGTGTAACTTATATATATTTTAATTATTATTTCAGGTTAATTTTTATTTGGATTTATGCAGAGCCCCATAAGTATTTAGTCTTTGAGGTATTTTCTGTTTTATTAGTTTCTGTAATTTAATTAATTATATTCATTTTTATAGTTAGTGTAATTTAATTAGTTATATTTATATATTTTTTTCTGTAATTATTAGAAAGTCGCTAAGGACTATATCATTTTAAATAAATTATATAAAAACTGACTTTAATTAAATTTGATATTTTATAATTTAATTTTGTGTAATTATTAAATTATGAGTATATTTGTTTCTGTTTGTGAAGTCGCTATAGCCTATATCATTTTAAATAATAAAAAATTCAAAAAATTATTTTTAAATTTTAAATTTTTTAAATTTAATTCTGTGTAATTTATTTAGTTATATTTCTGTGTAATTTATATTTTTTTAAAAATAATGATATTTAAATTTTAAAATGATTTATTTTAATTCTTTTTAATTTATATTTATTTAGAAAATAATTAAATTTAAATTTTATCTTGATTTAATTTATTTCTGCGTAATTTAAATTTATTTCAGAATTTATTTTATTTAAATTATAAATTGATTTATTTTAATTCTGTGTAATTTATATTTTTTAAAAAAATAGGTTTATTTAAATTTTAATTTGATTTAATTTAATTATGTGTTATTTATATTTATTTAAAAAATATTTTTATTTATATTTTAAATTGCTTTAATTTATTTCTGTGTAATTTATATTTTTTTCGAAAATAATTATATTTAAATTATAAATTGATTTATTTATTAAAAAAATAATTATTTTTAAATTTAAAAATGATTTAATATATTTCTGTGTGATTTATATTTATTTAGAAAAGAAGTATATTTAAAATTTAAATTTATTTAATTTAATTCTGTGTTATTTTTGTTTATTTAAAAAATATTTTTATTTAAATTTTAAATTGCTTTAATTTATTTGTGTAATTTATATTTTTTTCAAAAATTTATATTTAAATTATAAATTGATTTAATTTATTTATGTGTAATTTATATTTATTAAAAAAATACTTTTATTTAAATTTTAAATTGATTTAATTTTATTCTATGTAATTTATATTTTATTAAAAAATGATTTAATTTAATTCTGTGTAATTTATTTACTTATATTTGAATTTTTTTCCTGTAATTTTTGTAAAGTTGTTATGGGGTATATGATTTTAATTTATTTAGTGTTATATTACAGTTTTTTATATTAGTTTATTTATATTTTATATAATGTATGAAATAATGTGTTGTGATTTTTTGTTATAGATGACATCATCTTCTAGAGCTATGCGTGTGACATGTGGACCAGTTGATGATGATTTATTAACATTGCAAAATATACATGTTTCACAACATGTTTGGAATAGAGAAGATGATAGGAGATTAATAGCACGACGTGCTGCTCCAACGCGCAATGGAATTGACGGAGTTCCATATCAAATAGTTCCGTTATTAGATCAGACAGGATTTGGATGGATTGCTCGTTTGAGCTATATCAAAGTTAGTTTTGGTTTGTTAACTGTTTTGGCATCACATTGTACATCACATAATTCCATTATTGGCATCACATTCTGGCTCTGAAATGTTTCCATCATGCATTGTACATCATCATCGTCACTCAATTCCAATGAAGAATATATGTTGTTATCACCTTGTGAAACTAAAAATCTGTAACTTACAGATAATATCACTTGATTTGAGTTAAGACCAAATTTGTTGTGAATCCTTCTCTTTAATATATCCAAAGTGATAATGTTATGTGAAATGAATAACAAAAATACAGAAAATTAAGAAATAAAAAATACATAAAAAGGAATAAAAAATGTATAAAATTAAGAAATTACAGAAAACATACATTTAAAAATATAATGTTATGTGAAATGAATAATAAAAAAATAAAATTTGTAAAAAAAATAAGTTAATAATTTAAATTAAAAAAAAACAAAATGCTGGTGGCGCTATGGCCTATAGCGTAGCGCCACTTAAAAAATACATATAATTTAGTTTAAAATTAAATTTTTACAGACCTTGATTTTAATTTTATAAATATATAATAAATAAACTCAGTTTATTATTTTTATTTGACATTTCTATTATTTTCATTTTTTTTTCTTATAGAGTGTCGCTATGGGCTACATCATTTTTGTTAGTCCATCAACTGTGGTGGTCTAGCCTATAATGACACCAATGTGGCTCATTCCAGTCTAACCTACACAAAAAAAAAATTGTCACGTGTCACGAGGTCGCTATGGCCCATAGCGACACCGTTATAAACTATCCCAAAGATGTAAATACTTGCAAAACATCCTTATTTATGTAATAAAGTTTTAAAAGGACTCCACTTTAGTCAAAAAAACCATATAATAAATATCCTATCCCACTCTACAGGAATCTAGAGGGAATCCATTGATTGTACTTTGTTATAATCAGTTCTTTCCCCCCTCTATTTACATGTAATCTAAACTGAGTTTATATATATATTTTATATAAATAATTTTACTTTGACAAAACATATAATTTTGTCATGTAACTATAGTTGATTCTTTATTTTATCCCTATACATAAAAAATTATTATTAGTTTTTATACCTATACGTTATTGATTTAGTTTTTGACACTGTTAATTCTATATACATTAGTAATTCAGTCCCTTATATATATAATATATTCTTAATTTATTTCTTACAATAGTATTTTCTTAATTTGATCTCCACATCTAGAGTTTAAATTAAGAATAGATTGATTGTGTAAGATTAAATTAAAAATATGTAAGAAAATTATCAGTTTTAGAGACTAAAACAAAAAAATTTAAAAAAAGAAAAGAAAAAAAAAGCAGCTTAGCAGTGTAAGGCAGCCCAGCCCATTTGAAGAGTATGAAGTAGGTGGAGAAAGAGAGCCCTAAATAGCAGAAAGCTGTGTACAGAGCAGACTGCAGAGTGGTGTTAGACAGATGGCGACCCTCCCTCTCCTCCGTCCATACTCCTTCCTCCGCACTCCCACCCTCACCCTCACCCTCACCCTCACCCTAAAAACCCCAACCACAAAGATCCCCTTTTTACCCCTCAAACCCCAAAACGGCGGCGTCGGGGCACGCATGTCGAACTCCTCCAGCTCTCCGGCGGCGACAGAACGGCTAATCTCGGTGGCGGCGTACGGGCTGCCCTTGCTGAACTCGGTGCAGCACGGGCGGTACCTGATGGCGCAGTTCCCGAAGCTGGGCGTCCTCTTGGAGCCCATCCTACCCTTCCTGGCCTTCTACAGATCCATCCCCTACTCCTCCTTCGTCGCCTTCTTCGCCCTCTATTTGGGCGTCGTAAGAAACCCTAGCTTCCCCCGCTACGTCAGGTTCAACGCCATGCAGGCCGTTACTCTCGACGTTCTCCTCGTCATTCCGCTTCTCTTCCACCGCATCTTCTCCACCGGCACTGGGCCCATCATGGTCTTCTCCAGCAACGCCATTTTCGTCTTCAGTGTTTTCTGTTTTCTATACGCCGTCGTTTCCTGCGTCTTGGGACGCACGCCTTACTTGCCCTTTGTTGCCGACGCTGCTTCCAGGCAAATTTGATTCCCTTCCTTTTCTTTGTTTCTATCTAAGCCAATCGTCTCAATTTTTTGTTTCTGTTCCCCATTTATTTATGGTTTCTTCCGTGTATTATATTTTTATTTTTTTTGTTTTTGCAAATTGTGGAATGGGTTCACTGACTCATTTTAAAGCTCTTCGTTTGTATTCGAACAGTGTCTGAAATGAAGTAATTGAAAGGAGAGAAAATAGATTGTGTTCCTGGAGACCAAAACAAACCACCATGAACGGGAGACTTTCTCAGCCTCACCTGTTCATTCAAAAAATACATATCATTAAATAAAAAGTAAAGACCCTTTTTCGAAAACAAGGTTGGAGTTGTTGCTAAACTCAAGGCAGAGGACAAAGTTTGTGGTTGGAATTTCCTTATTTTTAAGATGAGCATATAATAAAACCAAGATTAAAAAGAGTGCTATCCTGATTCATGACTCAGGAGTCATAATTTCCTGGCATAAGCCATTTGTATTGATATTAATCTTCATATGCATTGTGCTTATCATGTGACCATTTGATAAACTTGGAGTGTGGTGACTTACTTAACAAAGAATTCAGTAAGAAATGAAAAGTACATATTCACTGAAAATATTGTCCGGATATTTAATTATTTGAAAATAATTAATCAAGCAAAGTTAACCATTTAATTAGTTAAACACGATTTTAATGTGCAATTTTATGTTCAATCTGTAGTACCACCATTAAATACATGACTGTCTCGCTCCATTTTTTAAAGTTTGATTACTAAAATAGCGAAAAAAGGAGTGAAAATAGAATATTCAATTCCATTTTATGTCTCGGTCCACTAAATGTATTTTTATTTAATTTTCTTTTCAAATCTTACTTAGTAGGAGGGGAAGTAGTAAATTGAAAAGTGTTGAAAAAGAGTAAAAACAATGAGATTCGATTTTTAGAATAAAATGGCGAGAAAATAAATTTATAGGTAAATCACAGTTAAAATCTTCCATGCCTAGGTAAGGAGCAAAGAAATATAGCTAACGAAAAAACGATCGTTAACATTAGATCGATTGGGATTTAAGATACCATTATTATCAGTTAAGTTAATTTTTCAGACAAAATCGTTTGCTTTTTTATTTGATCAATTAAATTAAGTATTAAAAAAAAAAAACTAAAACTCATTTTTCAATTTTTTTATTTTATTTTCTTCTCTTATTTCTTTTGAATCAAAAACTCTTCTACTCTAGATATATTTTTATATATTTCCATTCACTTTGTCTCTTCTCTATTATCATTCCCTCTATATCTCGTTTCTTTCCGCTCTGCTGAGCAGTTACCAAACCCAGTTCACGTAGACTGAAAATGGTAGTTAAAATCAAACTACTCTCATGTTAAGCACAATTGCAAGAACTGCTTCGAAGTAGGCATATTACAAATTGGATTTAAAATCTGGAAAAGCAACAACAAACCATAATATAGCTACACCTAAGCTCAAATTACATCCATCATTCCAGAAATAGTTTAACACGGAAGGAATTGCAAAATTATTTGTCCAACATGAGGTTCAACACCCACCTAGTCTAGACATTGTCATATCCATAAGATTCACATGGCGATCGCTAGTATCGATCATAACGCCTGGCAAAAAATTACGAAGGGAGTTAGGTACAGACACCAAATTTTTTTAAAAAAATCACTGTTCTACGGGGATTTCAACTGATTGAATGAAAATTAAGAGCTGATGTCATATGCACATGCACAACCCATGCATGTGTTATAAAACCAATCTCTTCACATATTTTTTTTCATGATAGTTGAAAGCCCACAATTTAACTAAATTCGTAAAATAATGGAGATAATAAAGAATCAGACAAAGGAAGATAAAGCAAGAGTGCAAGACTCTTTCAACACAGAATTTTACTGTGCTCCTCCTGTACTTGGATACCACAAGGGATGCCTTAAGAGTGACAATCTAGTAAGCCATACTTGACTCTTAGATCATGTGCCCACTTGTGTCACTCGTACTGGATCCCATACAGTTTCCATTATTAACCACACAGTATGTTGTGGAAAAAGGACAAGAAAAAGGGAAGGAGCCAAGGATAGTCAAAGAAGCTTCTACCTGTGTCGATCATAATCTCTAGACCTCTCTCGGGATCTAGAACGTGACCTCCGACGACTTCTTGAGTCATAGGTACGGGAGCGATCCGAGTCTCGGTCTCGATCATATCCACGATCTCTATCATAATGCCTATCACGATCTCTGCTCCTACGGTCATAGTCCCGCCCTCGTTCACGACTATCACCTCGTTCACGGTCCTTACTCGACTCCCTGTCTCGATCCCTACTACGTTCTTTTGATCTATGAAAATAAATGCACACAATATTTAACTAAAAATGAAATTTTATTTCACTGTCCATCAAAATGTTTCAGCTGTATTAAGCAATGAAACTTACCTCCTGTCATCATGCCGATCAGTCTTTCTACTCTTGTTCCTTTCTTCCTGAATCAGAATATAACGTAGACTAAGATGCCCCCTCTTTCTAATTGAACTAAAAGTTCATAAATTGTTGAATATACAAAATCCACATATACACTATAGACATCCTCAAAAACAACCCTGACCAAACAAAGTCAACCCAACCAAACCATTTGTTTCATTATTCTTCCTTTTGCCCAAGAATGGTCGAACGCTTTGAAATAATATGAAGTAATGCTTAACAATTGCAGAAAAGAAGAATCTCTTTGGAAGCGACAAACTTTTTGGTATTTAATATTACTGGCTGCACTGATAAATTTGCTATGATAGGTAGGATCATCACTGAAGACACAAGTTCAATCATTGATTCAGTTGATTGGAACCTAGAGACATCGATCTGAAATATTCTCCTTTTCTTTATATTATAATAATAACTAGATCAGCATTAAAAACAAAAACAAAAATTCATCAAAGTAAAATGTAAATATCCCTATTTACTAATAAAGAAAAAGAAAATTGATACTGGGCAATGGGTATTGGCATGAAAAGTAAAAGTAATGGTTTGTGTGTAGGAAAAAAAACAGCAAGAGAAAATGGACAAGAAAAATGACACGACTGGTGGTAAAAAGATTATCAGCGCATATAAGCAAATTAAAAAAAAAAAAAGGCATTAAAATTAAATTTCAAAAATTAAAATGCACATGAAGCACGAAACCTATTGATGAGGAGATGCCATGCATCAGTAGGTTGGATAGAATACATACAGTGCAAGAACAACCATCAAATCAAAATGACAAGTACATGCAAATTCACAAGTTTCCATGCTATCAGACCAAAACTGAGACTAGTTATTACACAGTAGAAAAGGATAACACCAAGTCGTAAAAAAATCTTTTAGGTTAGAAAATTCTCTTGAATTAAGTCAAACAAAACCTATGTATTTAAATCAATGGAAGCAACAGCACGAGAGGTGACCAAAATAGAGGATATAGGAGTCATGTTGCAACCCAACTGGCAAATCCTAATACTCTCTCCATATCTAAAAGGAAATAAATATTCAACAACCAGTTTTAGAATAGAATAAAGAATACAAGATCATAAATGCATTAAAGATGTCTTACTTGAAGTTCTGCTAACTTTTCACGAATCTGCATATACCCTAAATGAAGTTTCCCTCCAAAATGATCAGCTAAACGACGATCACTGTAAATAACAACACATTAAGCAAAATATACAAAAGCATCAAAAAATATATTGATGGATGACATTATTTCCCCAAAAATTTCTAGCTTAAGAATAGCATGATCTACAAGCAAAAAACAGAAAAGACGCACATTCTTTAGCTGCAAAAGTTATCCTCGTAAAACTGGCACAAGAGCCTGCTGGTGACAAGGAGGTATTACTAACGGGTCAAAAGCTGAAGCACTTGAAACCCCAAATTCTAACTCCATAAATCACTAGCAAAATTTAAAGACCGGAAAAGTAGGGGGCACAAAATCAGTTATTACCTGTCATAAACACTCAAAAATGCTCCACAAATGTCGCACACACGAAGCTTCTGATCAGTCTGAATTGTTATATATGAGTAAAAGAGGCGTAAGAATCATGACAGTTATATGTCTTATATATATACATAAAAAAAAATATAAAAAAAATAAAGCATAAGTTCTCAGGCAAAAATAATTTTAAAAAAAGACTGTCAAAATTTTGTATAGATGGAAATAATATGGGAAATTATTTTGCACATTTACTTTTCTTCAAAGTTAAAGAAAAAAGAGACAAATATGTGTATACCTTTTGAAAGTTGAATACAATAGGGAAATAGTTATATATAAAATTATTGGACAGACAAAAATTATGATACTTGAGAGGACTTGGAATTGGAGCTTTTTTCCTAGACAAAATTTATTATAGTGTCTCATTTGCAGTGTTGGTGGATATATAAATTTAATTATTATATCATATAAAAAGAGTTACAGATCATGTAAAATCTACTCACAATCCGCACATCTGCAGCTGTATACTTCGAAGAATCCAGCACTGGCTCCTGCCTGGAAGGAAGCTGGGATAGAAAAATCAGATTGTTAGAGTAATTACACAAGTAAAAGTTAGAAATTAGTAAGGAAAGCACGCAAACACACCAACCACACATGGATTCCACAATTTGAAATAGTATGCAAACAATAATAGAAAATTTTCAGTAACTTTGTAGAGAAATGCATAATAAAATAAAACATATGAAGGACCTTCTTAAGTGCTTCAGCCTCTTCCAATGCTTTTTGAGCCTCATCAACCATTCCTTGCTCACCTGTTCATTCAAAAAAAAAATACATATCTTAAAATAAAATTAAAGAGCCTTATCTTAAAAGAATGCATCTGTTCATATTTTGATGATGTTAAACAGAAAGCAGCAGACAAAGTTTGTTGTTGAAATTTGTATATTTTAAAGCTAAGTGCATACAACACCAAGATCAAAATAAAAAATGAAAACGCTATCATGAGTCATGATTACCAGGCAGGTGTCAATTATACTGATACTAAAACACAAGCAAACGAAGACCTTCTAGAGGCTGAAGTTACAATATCAATTTTACACCTCAAAATTCATGGTTCCATTATTTTCCAAAGCCAAAATCATCCTAAAGATATTGCAGCATTGCAATATCATCATTAGTTATAGACAAATCTGATACAGGACAAATGAGATTAATTATAATAGTTAATGATGACATTTTAACCTTCACACACATTACTTTTAGGGGTAGCAGAACAGCATGTCATTTGACCTTTTATGGATTGTCTGATGCAAACGTTGTTATTAAAAACCCTCATGAAAAGGCCTCTTAAAAACAATTGTAATTAGTTTTTGCTATCAAATTAATTCACAAGTCCTTCTGAATTGAAGCTCTATAGACTATAGGGGCTTTGCCCCAGAGTTTCATTGATCCACTTTAATTTTTACCATCCATTATCAACTGCTCCTTTATTAATACTCCTGCTGCATCAAATTGACTAAATAACTGTTTTTCTTTCAAGAAATAGGCATTGAAATGTATGGAATTGATAACTACTACTGCTATCTCTCAGCAGTTCATGTTTCACTAATATATTAAAAAAAAATTCTCACCTAAATGAGGTTTATGAAGGCCTTTGTTATAGATAATTCTGCCAGCAGCACTTCAAAATTAAACTTCTTTTATTTAAGAATAAACCCTCTAGTTAATCCTCCAAAAAATCTTCGGGGAACTAATATCGTGATAAAATCTTTGGCGGCAAAATCTTTAGAGAACTAACAGGGATATAATCTTTGGAGGACTAATATGGTGACATTTTAAAACTGATTGAGTAATCTTGGACATCTAGTGAGAAAAAAAATAGAGGACTAACACAGTTATACAATAACTTTGGAGGGCTAAACTGAGGACAAGCTCATATATTATGAGAAATGGAAGACAAAATAGACCGCAATCAGAAGGACTGCTTGAAACAATTGATTGCACCACATGAAAAAGGATAGAGACACACAAGGCAGTGATAGGCCTCCATTTAAAAAAAATTATGTTAAGAAAAAACACAATAAACCCAGAGTGGGAAAAACCACTCTGCAGGTATATGAAAGGTCAGTAAGACAGGGTAGAAGTTATAGAGAATTAGAGACACCAAAGGAATTCAAGAGGAAGTCAACGTGCATGAGGGGGATGTGCCCTCATAAATGAATGAGAGGAAGATGAAGAGAGTAATTAATCAAGACAAAAAATAGAGGGGTGTATGTTCCCTTTTTCTATCTGTTACTCCAGAAACCTATTAGATTTTGTTAACTCGTAATCACCTAATGTACTAATGATTAATGAATGCATCAACAGCAAAATTCAGAGGTACTTAAAACTCCAAGGGTTTTAAAGTCAATTTCAACAATGGTTTTTTGGTTTGGTTTCTTGTGTCAAACTGTTCATAAAAAGCTTATATTCAAAATTCAGCAGAGAAAGTTTTAGCTGAGAAGCCACTTGCCTAAAAATTGAGCAAAAAAAAAATACAGACTTGTTACAAGACTTACCGAGATCCTCAGCCTTCTTCAGCTTTTCATTTATCATCTCCTGTGTTCGAGGATCAGGAGCAACTACAGGAATGGGTGCCAGCGGTGGTGGATTTGGCAGAGGTGTAGGTAAAGATGCCCTATCTTTGTTAAAGGCATCTAAAAGAAGCATAGACTGTTCGGAAATTGATAGGAAGCCAAAGGAGTTGTTAATATATCAAAAATTGAAATCAAAATTATCTTGACAGTCTAACAACATGAATTGCAAGATATATATATATAGAATCACAAATCTATCTTCATGTTCAAGGGAGATAACTGACCTGCTTGTCTGCTCTCTTAGTTCTAAGTTCCTCAACAACCTCTAGAGCTCGAATCTTGAGATCTGTCTTGCCTTCAAGATCTGCAAATCCAATTATTTATAAGTTATAAACCTCGACAACCAAGCCTTTTCCCACTCATTAAAGTCAGCTACATGGATCAAATGACTATAATGTTCTATTTTACAAAAGTGGGAAAAAAAATTTTAAAACAAGCACCAGTTTTTCCCCATTTAACATGCCTCAATAATTTGAGTCCTTTTCACTTAATTTGCTAGACATGTTGTCAAATGGCAATCAACTAAATGCTGGAATGAAGAATGATAATAAAATCATACCTATGAAGTTTTGAAATGAAGTCTCATATCAACTTTTGAGTTAAGAATAAAAAATTTAACCAACTAGTGGTTTAATAGTGGTTTAACATATAATGAAATTCAAACCACAGTTTTCATACTCTTAGAATTCAATTAAATCATTTGACATGTAAGTAAAAGAGGGAAAAATACATATTGTCCAATAGGATCCATCCAATTCGTAAAACAAAACACACCTATCAAACAAATGAATAATTCCAAATGTAAAGTGCATACGTGCAACAAAGGACAAAAGTAGCCATTCACAATGTGCATATTCAACCTAAGCCAGAAGCTACAACTCAGACAAAAAATCATAACAGGTTTATGACCATAATAGTTTCAAGTCATGTATTATCCCCTCTACCACTATATTTGTCCCAGCCTCAAGACCTATGCAGTGTTAAGGTTACTACATCTGAAATATTATCCATTTTAACACTCATGGGCCTTCACGGTTTTGTTCTTAAAATGCATCTAGGTGAGTCAAAGGAAGAGTGTCTATAAACTACCTTTGGCCTCAATTTCTAAGCAATGTAGGAGTTTATTGGTGTACTATAATACTATTATTCGTGACAAGTCAGAGGAGGAGAGTGTCTGTAAACTACCTTAGGCCTCAATTTCTAAGCAATGTGGGAGTTTATTGGTGTACTATAATACTATTATTCATGACAATTAACATCACAGAAACGCGGGAAAATTTATAAAGGTAAAATAAAAAAAATTACACAGTAACAACAGTACCATATTGATCAGCTTCTTTCAACTTCTCCTTGATTTGCTTCGACAACTCCAGCACCTCAGGTGTCTGCACACACAAAACAAACCAATTATTACCACTCACAGCATCATCCCCATTCCCCACCACCGTCAAAACCAACATTACAAGACTCAAACTCACCTGAGTAACTTCAGAGACCGAAATCGCAATTGCAGCTTTCGCATCCTCATCCTCAAGACGCTTGAGAGCCCTGCCAATTTTCCTATCACACTCGCCAATAAGCTTGTCTATAACATCCTCCAACTCCCTATCATAGTTATCAGTCCCTTTCGCTTTCGCCTCCTCATATCTAGAAAAAAAGTTAAGCAATAACTGCAACAACGCCACTGCATCTAACGGTTCGTCATAAAAAATTCTCTGGTATCTCAAATTGTTCGATTTCAAAATGACACCTTGTTTAACCAAACCAAAACACAGAAACCCTAGAGATCAAAAAGGATACTCTTTACGGAGCTGCAAGGAGTGGACCTTAGGGCAAGGACCCATATCCATTTTCTGAAACGGAGGCAGTGAGAAACGGAATCAATAGAAAGCCGAGAAACTAACGAGGAGCGAGAAGAGGAAGGGGAAAACGTTACCGTTAACTGGAAAAGCTCGTGAGGGCAGAGACCAACGAGATAGAGGCGACAGACATCGCGATCGTAGTACTTGCGATTGACTTCGCGGACGTCGCCGTTACGGTTTGCTCCCATCAGCACATCGAGCTGCTTCCGTATCGCATCCATCCCTCGACACCACCAGTTCAGTGATGCTATTACTCTCCCTCGCTACACTCTTGTTTGTTTTATGTGATCTGGAATGAATATTTAGCCCTTCAAAACCAGTTTTAGGGTTACGAGAGCTATGGAGTGGTTGGCAACCTTTGCCTGCCTCTAGTTTTTCGTTAAAAAGTTCAATCTTGTGTTTTCACATTAAGTTTTAGGTAATTTTTTACTTTATATAATTGACATTTATTTATAAAAAAATTAAATATAAAAATCATATTTCAAATTAACAATAAATGTTTTTATTTTATAATAGGATTATTTTGAATTGTTGATTTTTATTTATTATAATTTAATTTTTAAAAAATAGTTATATGTATATAACTCTTAAAACACTTTGTTTTAAGAAAATTTATGAAAAAGGTCTTGTTAAATAAATAGTTATTTAATCACTACTTGTAAAAAAATTAATAACTATTTGATCACGAAAATATATCTTGTGAAATTCATGTATGGTGTGAGTTTGTTTCCCCAATTTGAATGTCGTGTTTTATAACGAAAACTATTTTTTGAATTTGACTATTGTTGTAAGAACATATACAAATGTTCTTTACACGTGTTGTTGTAGTTCAGCTTGATTATGTGTGAAGATTAACTCCTAAAAGTTAATTGTTCGCTTAAGGTGATTTCATAAATTGGTCTAATACAATTTAAATTAATCTTTCATCAATTATCAAATCTAAGAATGTGGTTAAAGATGAAGCGATTTATATTTTTTTACCCAACAGGGATAATGTTGGCTCAAATTAAGATTCTTGTGAAGTCATTTAACTTAGTGAATGCAAATGTATAGATTATGAACTCCACGATTGACATTGAGTATTGACTAAACAATGATGGATTTTTATCTCTCGTGTTTTATCCTTGTGCATCCATGGTAGCACATATTTCAATTTGCTTTATTGGAAAATTTACAAAATCGTGAATAGTCATGACAAAAAATATATTACAAGTATTATAAGATAATACAAACATAGTATTATTTGTCTCTATGAAACTCATTTCAAGTTTAGTTGTGCACAAGTGTTTTGGCACAAACTTATATATGAACCTTGTTTTCTTCAAGAGGCACATGGTCATACGGGTCACATTTAGGTATTGGACATAATTGACATGGATTTACAAGCTCCCATAGAAAAAACTTTTGTTGGAATTGCTCATTTAGTTGTCCTCAACATGTTCATTTGCAATGGGATCAACTTTGGTGCTATTTAAAATATCTCAATAGTAAAATTCTAGCAATTTTTTCCCTTAACGATAATTAGGAACTTTGATGGGATTTTTCTTTCATGTAAAGCAAGGGAAGGTAATTTCTATGCTTTTAGGGTAATTAATTATTTTGTCTTCAATTGAAGTTTGCTAAATAATTATGGTTGAGGTAAAAGGGAGTAGATATATGTGGTTTTGCAAAGAAAAAAAAGGGGTTGAGTATTGCAATAAGCTTGAAAAGGTTTTGTTTCATTTTCCTTGGTATAACACTTTCCACCAAACTTATGTTGTGAATCTTTATAGGGTCCAATATAATCATTTTCATATTGTTCTTACTCTTGGTGAGCACAACTTAACCAAGAGTAATCATCCATGGAGGTTCTTTGTTGTCAAGGTGCTTTGTCAAGATTACCACGAGGTAGTCCAAAATTTTGGTCTAATCAAACTTTTATGATCAATAAAAAATTGGAGGACATGAGAATTGAGTCTCAACTTTTTAATAAATTAGTTTTTGGTGGTATTTTTCACACAAAAAAAATAATGGTAGCTAGAGTTAAAAGCATCTAAATAGAGATAAATTATAGCCCTACCTATGGTATTATGTACTTAGAGGTTAATTTGGTAAGCATTGCACCTAATTTTTCATAATCAAACTATTGTTAGAGGAAGGAAAAACACCATTCATGGGCAAATGTTGGAAGATGACATGTGGAGTGTTGATGTTGAAAGTCTATAAAGTATTTTTGCAATATTTGTTTGTCTCAATTTCTCTAATAAATAACAAGACTTTGCAAATTAGGAGCTTTCCTTACTTAAGTAAGGATGTTACATTTGTATTGACAGCTACAATAACAAAGGATGAAGTCAAAACCACTCTTATGGTTATGAAATCTTTTAGAGTTTCTGGCCTAAACAAATTCCAACCTAATTCTTTTAAGAAGTATTAGGAGATTGTCTAAGATGATGTATGACTTATAGTTCAAGATGTTTTTACTTCTGCATGTTTATATGAAAGATTAGTTAAAACTTGCATTGTCCTTTTTCTTGAAAATTGGTTATCCTAATAAATTCAAGGACTTTAAGCCTATCAACATCTATAACGTCCCTACATAATTATTTCTAAAGTCATTGTCAATAGACTCCTTCCTTGTTTACAATGGATCATTAGTCTCATTCAAAAAAAATTTGTATCAGGTTGAGGTACCATTCACAATGCTATTTTTGTTCAAAAGTTTGTAACTTATTTGCATCAATCAAGAGTTAAGAATTTGTGTGTTTTCAGAATCGATTTAAAAAACACTTTGATCTGGTGAGATGAAAGACTTTTTAGAAGGTTTGTTGATGGATTTTGGCTTCCTTCAAACAATTGTTTCTATTGTCATGTGGATGTGGGTCCCACATTGTCTCTCTTATCTCAAATTTATTATTTTCAAAAAAAAAAAAAATTCCAACCCTCCTTTCACTATTTTTTTTACCAATCTTTAAAATCATTTCAAGTAAATACATTGTTAATAAGTATAAAATAGGGGTTCACTTATTCCAAGAGTAATTTTTAAAAATCTTGTTTTAGTTCCTTAAGTCACTAATAACATATTTAAAAGTGACTAATTAAGACAGTTGTGCAATATCAATCAAATTTAATGTGATATTTTCACTAATAAAAATACTAATAGGTAGATTTTATGCAATAATGTTTGATAAATTTCTTAACAAAATTTGAATATAAAGACTAAAATAAGATTTTTTAAAATTATAAGAATTAAAAACAACAATTTTAAATTTGAGGGACTAAAAACAGATTTATCCTAAATTTATGGGACTAAAAATATATTTAAGCCTATTTTTTTATAAATTTTAATTATACATAATAAATATTTATCATGTAAATTTAAGCTAAAATTAGACTATATATTTCTTTAGTATATTTTATTTCTTCTGTTTTTTGACCTGCCTTCTAAAAAAGCATCGTTCCCTCTTATTAATAAGTGTGGTATCTCTAAAAAAAAAAGGTACTAGAGTCTAGAGTGTCCACTAAATCAATCTTTAACACATAACAGCGGTCGTAGCGTAACACAAGCACAGACTGAGAAATCAGACGGCGAGAGAATGGGCGCGTTACCCTTCCGTTTCTTCTTCGCGGTGACTCTGCTGCTCACTTGCGCGTTAGGTTTCCAATCGGACGAGCTTCTCCTCGACGACGACGAGTTTGGCATCGAAGGTGGACGCTCCTTCGATTCCGATTCGCATCATCAACCTCCCGCCACCGCCACCACCTCTCGGAAGAGGTTTTCCGACTCCGCCTCCGCCTCCGATTCCAAGATCCAGTTCCCTCTCCAACACGCCTTCGGAGACTCCGATTTCTCCGACGCTGGCAACTTCTCTGCTCGCCTCAAGACTTGGAGCCACGGCGGCCAGGTCAATCCTACACCTCCCTCCCTCTCTGTTTATATTATAGCTTAAGAGTTGATATACGATTTATGAATTGATTTTGTGTCGATTCGAATTCGCAAATGTTTTTTTGCATTAGTTCTGTCTTATTGCACTGCGTTCTAGTGGATATAGTATCTGCGAGATTTGTGCTGTTGAACTGAAAAGCGTGTTTGATCTGTGATAGACTCTGACGAAGCTGAGGTTTAAGCGGGATCCTTTGACTGACGTTGAGCAGAAGAATTTTCAAGTAATTATTATGTGTTTTACATTGAGCTATTTTTCCTTGTGTATTTTGGCACGCTAGCATTGTATAAAGATGTGACGCTGTTCTCTTTTTACAGGAGCTGTTACGAGGAGATGATTTCTATAGGATTAGACTGCCGTCCAATGTTTTGAGCCCTCCCGGCCGGGAATATATTATTTCTTCGGTGAAAGCGGTAACTATGAATATGAATCAAGTTCTTGTCATTGTTGTATAGTATTAAATATTAAATATGAATAAAAAATTGAGTTTCCTTTTTCACGGCAACTATGGTTTAGTAGTCGGCTTTGTGCTTTGGGGATTAACAGCTTTTAGTTCCTGGGTTTGATTTTTCCGTTTCTAGCACTGTATTTGGTGATGTAAGTAATGGGGGGTACTGTGGTCTATGAAGCACCGACTCTGACACGAATATTGGACATGACTAATGTCCAAAATATAGGACAAAGAGCACGGCATGTGCATACATAAATATAATTAACAGACAAAAATGTAAATTGAGAAATGAGAATTAATATTTATATATATTTGGTATTCATCTTCAAAGTTGTTAATCTTTACAATCTTTATATGATAGTTACCATCAGAAAATGATTCATATCTCTTAAAAGTTAAAACAACTAGTCATTCTTATGAAAATGAGCCTCATAAAAAAAAAAGATGTTATGAGCCTTGCAATATTTAAAAATAAGTTGACTTTTTATTTTATGCTTTTATAATAGGAGTGATAGATGAGTGTTTATTTAAGAGTAGGTGTCGGCTCACTTTCTTGTTACAAGTTGTGTCAAAAAGGTATTCAAGTTGTGCCAAAGAGGTATCTAAGTTGTGTTGGAGAGGTGTATGAACCAACAAGAAAATAGTTTCTACTTATGACATTTTGGAGAGGTGTTAGACGCATGTCCAAAGCGTGTTTGACAAGTGTAATGTCCAAAACGTGTCAAACACACCAACATGACGTTATGTGGATGTGTTTGCATTTCACAGTTTGTGGTATTATAGTTTGCAATGTTGTTCTAATAATACTTGACATGATTTGTTTTACATTTATCATGCTATATTAAATGAAAGATGATCCGTTCCTTCTCTCTCTTTTTTGGTACTCCTTTTCACTTTAAGCATGTCTGCCTACTGTCAATAACTTGAATTCTTGTTTTGCTGGTATTTCATTGGTCACTGTTTTGGTGGTTGTGGCACTTTTATTTGGTGTTGCAGTTACTGTTTGAGCTTTAGACTCCAAGTAGAACTAACAATTCTGCCTTTCTGAACCAGCGATGTCTTCCAGGGGATGGATTGGAGGAGCATTTTGTAATACACATGGTAATATGTTTTATGATAATAAATATGCTTTTTATGCTGTGTTGGTGCTATTATAACTGCAAAGATAACTTCTCCACTTAATTCAAATTTTCATACATGAAGGGACTTGTCATATATGCTTGTGTCACATGAAAATGAAATCTGCTGTTTCCAAGATCGATTTCCATTAATGTTAAAATAATGCTAGGTCAGTAGAAGTCACATCTCATGAATACAGATTTGCCCTTGATTGTCAACTTTGGGACATTACGTGAGCTATGTTCATAAAAAAAATGAAAGTCATGTCTTATGAAAATGAGAAAAAAATAGTAAACTCTTATGATATAGATACAATGAATCAAGTTAGTGGAAGGAATATATAGAATATGATAGGGTTATCTCGTATTTTTTTATAAATGAAAAAAAATAAAAAAACTTGAGAGAATGGGTGGTGTCCTTATGCAATATTGTAGTAGAATACTTCAACTAGGAAGCAGAACTGAACATTGATTGTATAGCTTTTCTTACAGATCTATCTTCACGTTTTTTTTTAATTTCATTGAGTTTCACTCATTCAATTTTTATGTTTCAGGAAGGTGTTAATGTCTTGGCTGTCAATTATGGTGCTCCAGGGGCTTGCCCTTATCCCCGGCAACTGAAGCTTGTAAGTCGCTTTTACTTTTGACAACTGCTCTTATTGCTTCTTTTTTGTTGAGCTTAGCTCCACTTTTAAAAATTTCCAACACGTTTTGTTGTCTTCTATTTTCTCCTCCTCTTCTGTTTTGTTGTCTTCTAACTGTTTGTGTTTTACATGGAGTCAATAATACTATCTCTTTCCTTTACATACACAAAATGATATAAATACATTATTCATCACTTTTATTAGTTTTTATTGTATATATAATATTTTTTTAAGCATCTACAATGATAGTTGTATGTAATGCCAAAGCTGCTCGGTGGCTGTTTAGACAGAAACTTTTTACTTAGTTAATATATTATGGTCCTGATCCCTGCATGCATGAATTTTGGTAGAGTAAAATTTGCATATAAAGTGCCTTTAGAAACCACCTGAATATTCCATCATCCGTACTCATGTTCTGGTTGATTTTAACCTGTCATGCCACAACTTGTCCTTGTTCTTGATAGTTGCTAGGTGCGCAAAAAATCTAATGTGCATGTTTTCAAATCTATTTCATAGGCTTGTGCAAATTTAAAATTATGTCTATTGCCTGATCTTATATCGCAAATGCCAATCTCATACATCCTCTTTGTCTTTAGCCTGCAAAGTGGTCTTTCAAGTCATACACGGTTCTAAAGAACAGTGAACAAGCGCCAAGGTATATGTTCTATGATTGATGGTGTCACTCTTAATTGTTATTATTATTTTATTTAATATACAAATAATAACATAAAAGAAGCACACATAAGGTCTGTTTGGATAAACTTATCTAAAATCACTTTTAGGTGAAGGAAAAAAACAATATAAGTTTCTCAATAAGCTAAACTAGTTTATGCATAAGTAAAAAATAAGTTTTTGGAGAAGTTAATATGAGAGCTTCTACAAATTGACTTATGCAGAAGCTAATTTCATTTTTCCTTCTTATTTTCTCTAATAAGTGTTTTTGGAAAAGTTTACTTAACAAACTGGTAGTGTTCCTAGCATGGCTACTAAGGTATTGCATTCGGTTGTGGAAAACATTTTATCCAATAAAAAACATGGGAAATAAGTTTTATTCTCTGTCTGTCTGTCTCTCTTTTATCCTTTCTTGAAACTGAATTTCAATAATGTATAACACTGGTTTTCTCACTTTTATTATTACTGTTATAGTAGAAAGTCTACTTAAATGAAGTTGCCGTTGAACATAGAGCCTTGTCTGGCTTTAACTATTCTGCACCACTGTTTATTTATTTATTTTTTAAGTTACGCAGTCTGGATTGTCCCATGATTATTTCTGCGCAACAATTATTCTGACATTCCTATTTTCTTGTCTTTTTACTTGATGCACTCTATTATGATTGCATGTCTTTATCATAATATTCTTCCTTTAGTTTCACGTTCAATACTCCATTCACTTTTTTTTTTTTTTTTTTTTCAAAATAGCACTTGGCAAGTATAAAGTAAAAGTGTACAATAATATTATTTAGTTACAAATTAGTCTATAATCATCATTAACATAACCTCGGGTCAACACTTAGGATGTCATCATTTGAGCCTTTAATTGTTGAATATCATATGGATCATGATAATGTCTATGATGACATTGAAGATTAATACAGCTATGAGGATGAAGATCTGGATGAACTTTACAATTTATGCATGTAATTAACAGCTTTAGTGTTAACCCTTCTTTCAAATAATTTTTAACAATGTTAAATGAAAAATGAATAGCAACTTTCTCTTATATTAGCGGAAGGCACCAATTCAAGAAAATAATTTAATGAAAAGTTTAATGAGATTGAAAATAATTGAATATGTTTCCTTGCTAAGAACTGTTTCCCTAAAGTATCTTAATTGAATAAAACAAAATTAGATAAAAAATGGAAAACCAGAAGGAGGAAATAGCTTTCTCAACCAAATGTTTCCTTGACGTTTTTGATTTTGATGATTACTTAATAAGATTAATATTGTCGTTATCTGGTGTGCTAGGGAGGAAGGAAGGGTAAACCTTTTGCTTTTGGCTTTTTAACAACAAACATGATATAGCTGTTGCATCCATCATCCGTGTCAAGCTTTTAGTAGTATGTCTGTATTTTTAATTCAACAAATATTTTTTGCTTCCACAGAACTCCAATATTTGCTGAAGATGTGCTTGGCGGAGAGGAGGGAGATGGTGAGGCTGTAAAGCCAATAGAAAAGTCCTTTTGGGCTAAATACGTGAGTATACAACATTCATTCGGTCTTGATCTTTGAGCCATAACTACCTCTTTATTTATTATCTATAAATAAAAAACTATAAATGCATGTATTTCTGAATTAACATTTTCTTCTGGAATCTTTCACGATACTAGTGGATGTACCTGATCCCTCTTGGACTCATTGTAATGAATGCCGTCACTCAAGCTATGAATATGCCCGATGAACAACCTGGCGGGCAACCTGGTGCTCAGACACAGCAGCAGCCAGGAGCTGCAGTACAGCGTGGACCAAGCTCTGGAGGTGTGCGTAGAAGATGATTAGTTAGCTTCCACTGCCTCGGAAAACATTATTTGAGGACATTGGTAAGGAATGAAATCTTAGGTTGACCTTTTACGTAACATTTTTTAATAATTTTAATTGCATATTAATAGCACTGCCCATATGAAAAAAAAACTGATTTGCTTGTAAACTTTGAAACAGGGATGTCTTGGACGTTTCAGTTAGACTTGACCAATTATTGTTATTGTTATATATTGAAATTTTGGCACGAATATCATTTTGGTTTCCTCTGATACTGTGATGTTTCTGGGGCGATTTGTATTACTCCCAAAAAAAGGTAAGTGGGATTAACCTAATTTGTTTATGGCCACGACAACTATGAATTTGAAATAATGAAATTTAGTTCTGAGTATCATCCTAACTCTTAAATAGTTTTTAAGCTAATAAAATTATATAAATAGTCCCTAAATATTAAATACTTATCAATTTAGTCTCTGGGTTGATATGTTTTGCTAAAGTTGAGGGATTAATTTAAATTATTTTTAACACTTAAGAATAGTTTTTAAACTAATAAAGTTATATAAACAGTCCCAAAATATTAAATATTTATCAATTTAGTCTCTGGATTGATATATTTTGTAAAGTTGAGGGGTTAATTTGAAATTATTTTCAATACTTAGGAATTATGTAGCGAGATTTCTAAAACTTTAGGGATTATGTACATAATTTCAGTAGTTTAAGAATTATTTAAGAGAGTAATATTTTAGGAATTAAATTGATGGTTTATATGGTGTATGTTTAGTTCCATATTTATGATTCAAGTTTAAGTAAAAATTGCATCAAATATTCATATCCACTCAGTTTGGATAAAAACTTAATTGAGACGAAGACACTGATAACTACCTAAACAGGAGGCCCTGTGCCTTAAAGGGGTATACTGTGAGATAGCAACCTTTAATAAAATATCAACGAATGTTATGAATTATGAATAAAATTTACATCAAGTTCTTTATATTGTTCTCAAGAGTAACCAGCTTTATGAAGGGCTTAATGTGCGCGTCTACATTTCACAAATTGTGCAAACTTAAAATGTATTGTCAATCATGCACCAATTTGGTTAATCATGCTATTCCTTTTTCGTCTTTAGCCTGCAAGAGGGTCTTTCAAGTCACACCAATTTGGCCAAGGGAGGGAGCATTGAACTTCAAAGTTCCCTGTAGGCATTTGTCCAATAGAAAACAGAAAATTCTTTTATTTAACCTTCTTTCTTCATTTCCTTTTTTTTCTTTGTAAAAAAGAAGTTCAAATGTATAAGGGTGTTGGAGTGTTTCTGTATTAATACATTTTTGCTAAATATCAGTTATACAAGGAAAATAGCGTTTGAATAGTTGTATTCTGGTAACAATTTCTCACATTTTCCCCCAGTTTTTCTTTATCACATCACCCATTTTATTTCATACTTCTCTCCTTATTTTAAAAACTACCGAGAAATTTATGCGAAAATAGCATTACTTATGGAGTATATACTATTTATTTTTGTGTCAATTTCATAATATTTGTAAATAATAATTTGGATGTTATACGAAGAACGTATGAACGTTGCTAAAAAAACTCTCGTGCACATTTCAATAGCCCTTGAACCAAGCTTCGTATCAATGACAAATTAGGTTTTGTTTTCCCAGTCTATCAAAGATGCATGACAATGAAAGGAGGAAAGAGTAAAATAATACATAGCTATGCGACAAATAGACTATTATTATTTGGAAAGTTTAATTTTAAAATTAACATGAGCTGGAATATGGCACCACTATCAACGTAACTTTAATTCATAACAATGTCGAAATTCTTGTCAACCAGATACGAGAAAAAGGACGTTTTATCCCATCAAAGCTCATCCTGCACATCAAAGAAAGTCAATTTTTGAGTACAACAGCCAGAAAGATGTCAAAGATTGCATATCAATCACACTTATTCCCCAACCACGTACTGCAACCAAAGACAGTTTTTTTTTTTCCCCTCTTTTATTTATTTTAATTGGTGTTATGACATGTAAAGGTATGGTCCAAAAATAAAAAAAAGGTGCAAATTTTGGAGATTGATCACCAAAATGCCATCTCGATTTCAATGAACCAACTTAGCATTAGAGAAATAACTTGGGAAGAAAATGAGACTTACATGATAATCATGGCGATGCTGCACATAGGAAAACAACCAAGTGTAAGTAAAATTTATCATTGTTTCAAAACAAGGCAACAGAAAAGTATTGGGAAATCACGGAGAATATTTCTAACTCTATCATAATTCCTTAAACAATATTTTATTTTATTTTATTTTATAAGGATTAAGTGTCAGAACAATCTGGTCACTTTGTTGCCAAAGTCATTGTGAGTAACAAATTAACCAATTCAATGTTCTTCTTCATTCTTTGTCAAATAAATTTACTGAGATCTAACTGAAAGTACAGTAGCTAATGTTTCGAAACAAAGTTCTTCCTTCCCTAAATCATTCTCTAACAAAGGTTCTTGCCAAACTTTTAGTTTCGAGGGCAATCATCCCATAGTATATAGCTCTAAAAAATGGCCAGTCACAAGTATATATAATTATTAAGAGAATGTGGTGACAATTTCCCAGAACTAAGACTCAAAGTAAAATGCTTCCCAAAACATTATTAGGAAAATTGATTTGCCTTCCACACACATTTTACTAGGGAGGATAGATCAAAGCCATAGTACTAGAATAAAGCTTTGGAACTGGAGTTCTATTCCAATCTAGTTTCTATTCCACTTGTCTTATCCTCAAAAACGAGTGAAGATTCATTAAAAGGGAAAAGAATGAATGTTGAATATATTCATGTATGATACTAACCCTGTATCTGTCTCTATATCTGTCCCGGTATCGCCGATCATGACCTCTCTCTCGTCTACGCCTTTCACCTTCTTCTCTTGCTCTTTGCGCCTCCTGCACGAATACGAGTTAGGATTTTGGAAAAAAGAAACTAGGGTGATTCAAGACGGATGATGGAACTCAAAAGTTATGCCCATGTACCTCCTCCTCTTTGGCTTTTCTGACTTTCTCTGCTTCCTCAAAACCTTCCTTTTCAATCTGAGATGCCAAAAAATAAGGGTCACCTAAACATGTACCCTAAGAGATGACACATATTAAGGAGAACCGAATACATTCGTTCTTTTTACCAAATGGACACTTTCTGGAGCAAATCAAATGCAGCTTCAAAAAGGCTTAATAAGTTTCAAGACCATACATTTTACAGTATTGTTCATATCCGGCCATGCTGTTTTAAATTTTCAATCCAGTCCCTTAATTTAACGTTTCAAGGTATCCCTATTATTTGTTGCCATCCAATTCCAAATAAGTCAGATAGGTTATTGTTTGGTTAATGTCTATTTTGTACATCACATCAACTAAAACATTTTCACCAGAATAAGCCGTAAGTGACTCTATTTACAGCCTTAGATGAAAGTTGATTATAGGACTACATTGAACACATATCGCTCACTACAGGTTGGATATGGAGCTAAATCAAATGCAAGAGATAAACTCACCTCCCTGTTGGCAAGCACTTCCTCAACAACTTGTTTTGCATAATCAGGATCATCACAAATCAAAACGTTGTCAAAAACTGAACCACCTTTAACCTGAAACACAATATTTGGTTTATATTAACAGCATCCACACATTTTTGCCCAATGACTTTGCACTTAATAAAGAGGCAGAGAGAAGTCTACATTATAATATAACATGCCAACACTAAATTTGGAAGGTTACATTTACCATACCTGCCAAACTTCAATGCCCACATACTTGATAGGCTTAAGCACATAAAGATCAGGGTCATCTTCAAACTCTGATAAGGATAAAAATGAAATTGAAGCATTCCTTAGTATGCAGGAAAATATGTAATATATATATATATATATATATAGAAAATTTGTGTTACTTACATATATATATATATATAGAGGAGAATTCAAACGACGCTGGTGTAATTTTTACTAAGTGTTACACTGCTCAATAACTTTATATTAAACGTGAATTTTGAAAATTCAACCGTTAGATTGAAAGTTCATATTTCTTAAATCATATATATCAAATTTTATATTAATCTAAAATGATTTGATACTTCATTCTAATAAAACAAAATTGATGTAATATATACATTTCAAAATATACTAAAATATGAACACTTTGATTACCTTCAAGTTGTTGTTCAATTTTAATAAAATTTGGTTTATATGATCTAAGAAATATGAACTTTCAATCGGTTGAATTTTCAAAATTCACATTTAATATAAAGTTATTGAGCGGTGTAACACTTAGTAAAAGTTACACCGGTGTCGTTTGAACCCTTTTCATATATATATATATATATATTAAATTCCCACAAAGAACCTAGATATACATTTGAACGTACCTGGATTATCTATCCATGGAGTTTTCCATTTTCCTTTGTAGTTAGGGTTCTTGATTTTCTGTCAACATAGGGGTAACAAGTAAGAGAGAATGGATGATGAAAGAAAACTGAAAAGGAATAAGGAAAAATTAATGTTTATTCCATGGTGGTTAGCTTCCCCAAACTTGATCAACAAACCTTTCTTTTCCATGGTCCTTTGTATGCTGGATTTGGTATCTTTGGTGGTTTCCATTTCCCGTCTTCCTCTTCATCCCAGTTATCAGGCTAATTTAAAGGGAAAAATGTACATAATTAGGAAAAAAAAATCACTCATCTCTCCCTGTCGAGAAGTCATCATATCAGAAAACTGAGAAAACCAAATAATGCATCAAGCAAGATAAGCAAGGAACTATGACTAACCTCTTTAGCATTTGGGTCAGGAATTTCTCTTGGGATCGAATCATATCCCTGCAATAGCAATAAACAAATTAATGAGCTTTCCATCTCATGGACTAAAACTACCATCCCCTTGTTCTATTATCATCAGCTTTTGGATTACCTCAGGTTTGACATCATTAGGGTCTTCAATGTATTCTCTTTCCTCCCAGTCTGCAGGCTGCAATTTGAAAGATGTTTTAATTTCAAAAATCAAGTTATTGTTAGAAGAAAAAAGGCATCTCAACCATAGGATTTGATTGGGATAAGTTAAGTCTCTTTATGGTAAAACAGGAAATCTAAACCGAGTTATAATATTGTTACAAGATATGTAAATCACCAAAAGAATCATAACATACTAAAGGACAACATCAGAAGTTAACTATTAAGATTCTGTATGAATAAACTTTTTCCAAAAATACTTCTATGAGAAAAAAATAGAAAGGAAAAATGAAATAAACTTCCATAAGTTAAAACTAGCTCATGCATAAGTTAAAAATAAGTTTTTCTGAAAGCTAACATGAGAGAGTTTCTACAAATTAACTTATGCATAAATTACTTTCAACTTATGG